CTAGAGTCGATTTGTAGCATATTCTAGCCAGGGGATATGTTTGACAGTAGTTGAGTGATATGCTTTTGAAATAATGGAGATCAGTAGCACTTTATAAGCATTGAACCACATGATTTTTTTCCACTAAGATAAACATACTAAACCCACATACATGTTCCCTTTCAATTAGCCACTACAGTATTTTTACAACTGTACATGTAGCTGTGAACTACTATTTCGGATATGATTAATGGTCAAATTACAAACATACATGTAGATATAAGTTAAAAAAAATAATTGTGTATCTGGGCTGGAATGAAGGGAAAGGTTAGAAAACAGGATGAACAGTTGTGAAATTATTTATTAAAGTGAAACAATCATTGAAAATCAAAATTAAACAGTTACTCTGCACATCAAATGTCATCAAAGTTAATCTTCATTATCATCATCACTGTCACTAAATGTATTAACATCAAATTCGGTCTCTTTAACAGTTTTTTTTTCATTTTCACATTGACTACACATGCACAGGTCTGTACAAGAAAGGGGGGTTGGGATGGCCTAGAGTGCCGCGCTTCGACCTCTAGCTGGTCGGTCACCTCTGGCTTGTGGCTGTGGCTTTGATCCCAGGTGTGAGCGTATGTGGCATGGAGATAGAGGCGTCTTCTCAACCTCGTGGGTTTCCTCCGGGCACTCCGGTTTCCTCTCACTGCTAAAGACCCATACGCGCAAGCGAATTATTGAAATAAAATTGAAACCGTATGTTAGTCCCAAAATGACCTAGTTTGTGTTGAGTGGACGTTAAACCCCATTTCTCTCTCTCTCTCTCTGTACAAGACAACTTTGCTGGCCATTTATGATTCTTTCTCTTATGACATCTTCACAGAATATATTGTATGTGGTTTAATATTCGACGGAGGGCTAGTCATCTTTTTCTGAAAAATATAAATAAACATATACATGTACACAATTAAAACAAAATTCTGGAGCTTGGTTTACTCTCATTAATTTCGTACAACAGAGGAAAAAGACACTTACACAGGGGTTAACATCTTATTTTCATGCAGAAACCAGCTAATGAAGACAGGAAGGCATTAGCAGTACAAGGAGAGATAGAGAGGAGAATTGCGGTTTAACGTCCACTGGACAAAAACATAGTAATTTCAGGACTCACCCATGGTTCAGTTTTATTTGAATAATACCAGTGGCAAGAAGGCGGAGAATACAAATAAAAAAAACATCACAAATATTTACCTTTCTGATAACTGTCTAAGAAATTCAGTACATGTATATTGCCTATAACATTTTTGGTGATATCTGACCTCAATGGCCACACAATCTTGCCCTCTGATATGCCTTAAAATATCTTCATCCTCTTTCAATTCAGCAGCTTTCAACAGTTGGCCTACAAACAAATTTGCAAACAAATTATACACCATATAGCGTTGAATGTTGTTTGTGCTCAAGGGTGGGGGAGGGAATGTCACTTTGACGCCTACATGTACATGTACCTGGCTGGTCAACTCTGGCATGCGGTTTAGTTCAGATCCTTTGTGTGAGCGGAAATGGTCTAGAGACAGATCGTCTTAGCAAGGCACCTACAAGTGGGCCAAGAAAATAAAAAACAAGTTAACTTCTCTATGTTTCATCCCTTGTGCAAGCAAATGTGCAACACTTTAACCAATGACTGTGCCAAATCAACAAATGGGGTAAAGGGCTTTACTGGCTAGCTTCATAACAATTTTACAGTGATTGCAGTAGCACTTCTGATTCCATTTACAACAAAAACAACAACACAATAATTAAAAACTGTAGGATGAATATATTTAATATTTATTAGTAATAATTATAAATTTAGTAAGTAACATAATATTAACATTAGGCCTACCTGAGCCTGTTTGGGTCTGAGTCTGTGTTAATACATCCTTCTTCCTATTTTCTCCAACAGTGACAAATCTGTCACGTTTTTTACATATAATACACACAACAGGCAGCACCGATTTACTCTTTCTTTTTGCTTCAGGAGCGTAATTTGTTTGGAGAGCTAGGTCCCAGATCGTCTACACTCCCGCTATTCCCTGGTTGGATTGTAGCCGGGGATTTTAATTTTTCTTTATCTATACGATTACGGGCAGACCCAATTCGGAATTTGTCTGTAAAAGGCCTGTAACATGTTGGGTGAAATCCAGTATCTTTTGGCGCGTCGATAAATTCCTTGTTTGATTATATCACCCGAAGTCGCCTGTTCAGCTATCCATTTCGCTCGCCCATCAAGTTTTAGCCATTCATGGGCACATTCACAGAATTTATCCCAGCGAGATTTTGTAAATAATTGTTCTCGTTCCTTTCTAAATCCTTGGTAATGAATAATACAGCGTAAATTTGATTTACGTTACGACAAAGTCTAACACTGTAAGTACCAAATAGTCATACGAGATATGTGCATCTCATCAAATTCAGCTTATACCATACCCACAATAATGTTACGGAGTCAGTGAGTTCAAGTTAGACAATACGCTGACCTTCCACTGACCATGCTTATAATATAAAATCTGTCAATGACAGCTGATTCATTGTTTAGTTTTTTATATGATATATTTAATATCAATAATATATGTATATGCATGCTTTATTTTACTTTACACGACCTCTAAAAATGCCCCAAATCGTAAAAATACGACTTTTTGGATTTCGATCTCCTTTTTTCGGCTACCCCGGACATTTTCAAAAAATGATACAATGATTTCACACAACAGGCCAGCTATTAGCCTCTCGATTGACAAGAGTTTCATCGCCCTCCATTCATTATAACCAATGTCATCGTGCCCTAAAGAATCAACAAATCAGCTTGCTTATCTCTGCTTACCCTAGGCAAAAAATGCTCATCTTTGAACTCAATCATGACATTGACCTAGTGAACGCCTACACCAAGTTTGAACATTCTAGCTTAATTAGAAGGAGAGTTCTTGTGTTCCAAAGTCCCGGCCCTTCAAATTGCTTCTATTTTTCATTTTCAATTCAAAATGGTGACCATCACGTGACCGAAATCAAAATTCTGATCAGATAGATTTTTAGGCATTCCTTCCAGGATTCCGAAAATATGACGCCCGAGTCTGTAAGTAAAATAGAAAAAAAGCCTTTTTGATTTTTCACGTTTAAAGATGGTGGCACTTCCGGTTCGATCGACAAACTCCATATTTTGTGTACGAATCAGTAATTACTTGTCTAGTATCGAATTTTTTTTTTAGGTCATTCTGACCTATATTTCGACGATTTTTTTGAAAACTTTGATCCTTAATTTTACCAAGGGGAGATAATTTAGAAAATTTCCAAGGACATCATTCAAGTCGCATTGGCAAGATCTACTAACATTCTAAATTTCACGAAAATCGCACAACTATTAAAGAAGTTGTCAAATTGGTAATAACTTCCGGTTCGAAATGACAGCGACGAATTTTCGAAATGCCAAAATCCGAAATTGCAGATTTGAAGTAAATGTTTCAAGATACTCAAAGAAAAAAGAATTAGTAAAATAGGTCAAATAGTCACAAAGTTACAGCATTGTAGGTCAAATGCATTCCTTCGTAAAATTCGGTGATTTCGGATTCGTAAAACGTTTTGAAAATATATTTAATCAACAGCCACCACCCATTTTTGGGGGGATAGGTAAAAGTTTCAGAACGATCCTATGGTTAGATTCTGAGAAATCCGATTTGTGGACAAAACACAAAAAAAAAATAACAATAATAATCTTAACAGAAACAATAAGCTTTCATATGTAATATGAAAGCTTAATAATCTTAACAGAAACAATAAGCTTTCATATGTAATATGAAAGCTTAACTAGATCTGCTAAGCAGATATTAAAGCTTTCATATTCACAGTCACTGTCACATGTCATAGAAATAATATGAACAGAAAAAAAAAAATCATTATAATGAGTAAAAATTTGGTGAAGTTAATTCGATTTTTCACTGGTAAATAATTAAATAGACAAGTGGCATAACTTGACCCGCATCCCATCAGCTATCCTGAAAAATGCTGGAAAAATTAAACAAGTAAATTGTGTTTAGTACTGGGTTAATTAAGACAGGCATATGCCTTTGCTATACAGGATGACATGAGGGAAATTTAGCTTGGGAGGTGTAGGCCTGCAGCCAAAATTTCTAGCTAGCTTAGAAACACAACTCCGCTACACGGTCTTCCATAAAAGAAAAACTATACATTTTTGGAAAGCTTATGATGCCAGGAAGACAAAATCTGGGAGTTCCAAGCAAAATGTTTTCAATTTATTGATTTAGGGCCAGATGAAATTCGTCAAAATTGTCAAATAAATGCTATTTGTGTACTAACAATTCTGAAGTTGACATAAAATTAAATAGTTGGTAAAACACCTCATGCCTTCATCCTTGGCAATGAACAGTTTATTGGACAGATTTTGATGTAAATAAAAATGCTCAAAACACAAATGTCATGGGTGAATAAAGAATTGTGGAAATCCATTAACGGTAAAAAAGAATTATCTCCCTTTCTGTCAAATGCCTGTAATTGATAGACTATCAGGTCTTGTATGAATCATAAGACCAGGTGTGGGCAAACAAGCCCAATAATTATTTTGTTTGTTGGATCTCAAGGGCCTGTTAGGGTTGGTTGTTGGATGTTTGCTCAGAAATTATCGCTTGTATGGAACATGCTAGAGTCGATTTGTAGCATATTCTAGCCAGGGGATATGTTTGACAGTAGTTGAGTGATATGCTTTTGAAATAATGGAGATCAGTAGCACTTTATAAGCATTGAACCACATGATTTTTTTCCATTAAGATAAACATTCTAAACCCACATACATGTTCCCTTTCAATTAGCCACTACAGTATTTTTACAACTGTACATGTAGCTGTGAACTACTATTTCGGATATGATTAATGGTCAAATTACAAACATACTTGTAGATATAAGTTAAAAAAAAAAATTGTGTATCTGGGCTGGAATGAAGGGAAAGGTTAGAAAACAGGATGAACAGTTGTGAAATTATTTATTAAAGTGAAACAATCATTGAAAATCAAAATTAAACAGTTACTCTGCACATCAAATGTCATCAAAGTTAATCTTCATTATCATCATCACTGTCACTAAATGTATTAACATCAAATTCGGTCTCTTTAACAGTTTTTTTTTCATTTTCACATTGACTACACATGCACAGGTCTGTACAAGAAAGGGGGGTTGGGATGGCCTAGAGTGCCGCGCTTCGACCTCTAGCTGGTCGGTCACCTCTGGCTTGTGGCTGTGGCTTTGATCCCAGGTGTGAGCGTATGTGGCATGGAGATAGAGGCGTCTTCTCAACCTCGTGGGTTTCCTCCGGGCACTCCGGTTTCCTCTCACTGCTAAAGACCAATACGCGCAAGCGAATTATTGAAATAAAATTGAAACCGTATGTTAGTCCCAAAATGACCTAGTTTGTGTTGAGTGGACGTTAAACCCCATTTCTCTCTCTCTCTCTCTCTCTGTACAAGACAACTTTGCTGGCCATTTATGATTCTTTCTCTTATGACATCTTCACAGAATATATTGTATGTGGTTTAATATTCGACGGAGGGCTAGTCATCTTTGCTGAAAAATATAAATAAACATATACATGTACACAATTAAAACAAAATTCTGGAGCTTGGTTTACTCTCATTAATTTCGTACAACAGAGGGGAAAAAGACACTTACACAGGGGTTAACATCTTATTTTCATGCAGAAACCAGCTAATGAAGACAGGAAGGCATTAGCAGTACAAGGAGAGATAGAGAGGAGAATTGCGGTTTAACGTCCACTGGACAAAAACATAGTAATTTCAGGACTCACCCATGGTTCAGTTTTATTTGAATAATACCAGTGGCAAGAAGGCGGAGAATACAAATAAAAAAAACATCACAAATATTTACCTTTCTGATAACTGTCTAAGAAATTCAGTACATGTATATTGCCTATAACATTTTTGGTGATATCTGACCTCAATGGCCACACAATCTTGCCCTCTGATATGCCTTAAAATATCTTCATCCTCTTTCAATTCAGCAGCTTTCAACAGTTGGCCTACAAACAAATTTGCAAACAAATTATACACCATATAGCGTTGAATGTTGTTTGTGCTCAAGGGTGGGGGAGGGAATGTCACTTTGACGCCTACATGTACATGTACCTGGCTGGTCAACTCTGGCATGCGGTTTAGTTCAGATCCTTTGTGTGAGCGGAAATGGTCTAGAGACAGATCGTCTTAGCAAGGCACCTACAAGTGGGCCAAGAAAATAAAAAACAAGTTAACTTCTCTATGTTTCATCCCTTGTGCAAGCAAATGTGCAACACTTTAACCAATGACTGTGCCAAATCAACAAATGGGGTAAAGGGCTTTACTGGCTAGCTTCATAACAATTTTACAGTGATTGCAGTAGCACTTCTGATTCCATTTACAACAAAAACAACAACACAATAATTAAAAACTGTAGGATGAATATATTTAATATTTATTAGTAATAATTATAAATTTAGTAAGTAACATAATATTAACATTAGGCCTACCTGAGCCTGTTTGGGTCTGAGTCTGTGTTAATACACCCTTCTTCCTATTTTCTCCAACAGTGACAAATCTGTCACGTTTTTTACATATAATACACACAACAGGCAGCACCGATTTACTCTTTCTTTTTGCTTCAGGAGCGTAATTTGTTTGGAGAGCTAGGTCCCAGATCGTCTACACTCCCGCTATTCCCTGGTTGGATTGTAGCCGGGGATTTTAATTTTTCTTTATCTATACGATTATTCTATCTATATACATTTGTACAGATATATTTGTATCCATAGATATATATTTGTATCAATACATTTAATTTTGTTGTTTGAAATAAGGGGGGGGGGGTGAATGGTTAGTATATGCGCGCTGTATCATAAGGTCTGCCATTTAGTGAACTGGTGTGGTTTCAAATCCCCAGTTGTACGTGGCAAGGAGTAGGGTAGCACGTTCATCCTTCGAGGGTTTTCTCTGCGAACTCCAGTTTCCTTCCATTGCTAATGACCCATACGCACAAGCAAATTATTGAAATAAAATTGGACCATGTGTTAATGCCAAAATACCTAGTTTCTGTCGAGTGGACTTAAACCCCATTTTTCTCCGTCTTCTGATTGAAATATGAATACCACATCATTTATTGTCATTTTATATATTTATTATGTAATAATGATTTTTCTCTGTGTTAATTTTTCTTTGTGTGGATACACTATAATACAACAGCTGGCTGAAAAGTTCTAGATCTGAAGAGGAGAGATTTAATTGGCTTTTACCACCACAAGTAGAATCATTGAATGAATCATAGACATAAGACCTGCAGCTGAAGTGTTATTATTGTATTTGTACCAGACAATCTTGTGAACCTACCCATTGAAATCACCAAAAATGGACAGAACTATCTATATGGCAGTCATCAAGTATCTGCAACTGAAAGTCCTAACCCAAACATTGAAATATGTGGATACGGTCTCCACTATAGGTGACAATGGCCCTTCCTTTTCTGCACTAAAGAAGTGGTTGCAGGAGGTACTTGATCCAGTGACATCCAGTGACAATCTGTGCTGTTTTCAATATTTCCTAAAAAAAATTTTAGCCAGATTTTTAAACATAGAGGAGACCTGGATTCATCAGTTTCAACCAGAATGCAAAATTCAATAAAAACAATGGAAGCATCCAGACTCGCAAGTCCCCAATCAAGCCAGGTCAGTTCTTTCGACTGGACAGGTGATGGATTCACTCGTTTATGATTCCTAAACTATTCTGCTGATTGACTACCTTAAAAACAGCCAGACTATCAATAGAAGTATTATAAAGGTGTTCTATTCAGACAATACTTCTGTTCATAAATGGGTGATATCATTTTCCCTCTATGATTACGTCATGTCAGCTGTGATCAATTTTTTAAGGGTAACTGAAGATAATTTCTTCCTGGCAGACATCAAGGCCATGCAACATCATTAACTAAAGAGTGAGAGTGTACACTTCAAAAGTGACTACATAGAAAAATAAATGGAAACAATGGACTTTATACAATTCTATACAGTTCTTTCACAGATGGGTTTAGAATTTTTCAGCCAGCTCTCAATAGTTATTGAAATTGAATTATTTGTTTTGGTTTGATACATGATATTATAATTATTCTTACATTGTTTGTATTCTGTTTTAATAATGAACATTAAAACATGCTAATATTTGTTCATCCTTGCTGTATTGGGTTGGATGGCCGAATGGTTAGTGTGTGCATGCTGTATCATACGGCCTGCCATTAAGTCAACTGGCGTGGTCTCGAATCCCTGGTTGTACGTGGCAAGGAGTAGGGTCACCTGTCCATACTCCTGATTTTCTCCGGGTACTCTGGTTTCCCCCCACTGCTAAAGACCCCTACGCGCAAGCAAATTATTGAAATAAAATTAAACCATATGTTAGTCCCGAAATGACCTTGTTTGTGTTGAGTGGACGTTAAACCCATTTCTCTCTAATTATGTTTTGCATACAATGTATAAATACAAATGTAAAGGATGTAACTTTAAAATAGAAGAAAATCAAATATTTTTAATATTAAACAATTGCTTTGTTCTTATACTTCTACAATCATTCTCATGTTGTTCATTTTGCCATATTTTTGTTTATTCATTCATATGTCTTCTATATAATGATGCATAGTATAGTACACTATGTTAAAAAAATACTAGAAATGTATGTTTCTTTATCACCAAATGATTTATGTAAGTTGTGAAGTAAAACAGTTGAACATTAAATCCCATTTCAATTTATTTGCATGAGGTGAAGAGAAATAATGGTATTGAACAATTGACTATTCATGAAAGATACTAAAGAGAACTTTATTAATTTATACATACTTTTGCTAATTTTATTGTTATATCTTGGTAGTAACATACCAATATAAATAGTAATATTGTTTCTAAATGAAGACTATTATAATTGAAATGAAATGGGATTTCACAACATAATGCTATGCACGGACTGGGCTAATAATGACAAAAAACTACAATGAATACAATAGTATAAAATGTTGCTATGAAATTAAATAAATGTTGTATACAATAATTAACCGGTTTAATACTATATTATACATAAAAGTGAATGAAATTCAATGTTTACTATTTTGCTTTATACATGAATATCACAGGTCAAATTATTGAAATAAATAATGCAAATAGATTATGATTTGAAACATCTTGTATGTCATTGTTCTATTTGTTATATAAGACTTCATGATATAAACTTTTTGATAAGCCTCTTTTATCATATTTTGAACCAATGGAATAAAGAGCAAAGACCTAGAATATATTGTAAATATAATCAGGTTTTTGATCAACTGATCAAAGGAAAATATTGCGAATAAATTTGTTGTACTGCTATTGTAAAGAAAGCATCATTGTTTTATTTGATATTTAGAATACACATAATCGTGTATATATTTGAAGTTAAGAGCAATTATGATTAGTGATACCTGTATGACCAACTCTCAAAAGATAATCTCATTAAACCAAGTACTTTTTTTCATTTGTATTAGTTGATTTATACTGAATAAAGATAACACAAACAAACAAAAATGAGTTGGCTGTGTGAACACCTCAATGACAAGTGGTATCAGATGCCTCAGAGAGAATATTCAAATGCTCCTTGTGATACTGGAACATAACAACCCAGCTTTTAATTGAGCTAGAATGTTTAAACTTGGTGTAGATGTTCATCAGGTCTTGACTGAACATTTTGAGCTACAGCTTGGCAATTTCATTGGTCGATGCTTTGGGACAAGATAACCTTGATTTCTATCTGACAGAGAGTGATGAAATTTACAGTATAGTTTGATTGCTCGATACTTTTGAAAAAAATATGAAAGTGCGATTAATTAATGTGTCATCTTTTACTTTGGGGTTTTGGCGGGAGACATCAGCCATACTGTTTGCTTGTTTAATATCCCCTATACAATATACGCTCGACCTCATTACCCGAACTGGGGTAGAAAAGTGGGATCTTTGACAATGAGGCAATGAACTTGTACATTCTTTTGCAGCTGCACAAGAGGGAACATCAACGCCGGATTAACCATGGTGGTGGGGAGGGGGGCTGATACCGACCGTGAAGCCCCGCAAGGGGGTCGGGTCAGGGGGTTCTCCCGCTAAGAAATTTTAATTGGAGGCCGAAAACGTGATTTCATGGCATTTCAGGCACTTGTGTCGGAGCCATTTAGAAATACCTCCCCCAGAAAAATAAAATTCTGCCACAAAATTAGCCACAATCCATGCGGGTGCTGTGAAATTTCTAGAGGAGGGAGCTGGAACCCATGAGCCCGTTAAATTCGCCACTGTAAATGAGCAGAGCTACATCAAACCTAATTTTGAGTCCCTCAGTGATAAATAACTTGATTCAAAATCGTATTATAGCCCCAACGACGATTTGATGAATGGAGACCGTAACGTTACGACAAAGTCTAACACTGTAAGTACCAAATAGTCATACGAGATATGTGCATCTCATCAAATTCAGCTTATACCATACCCACAATAATGTTACGGAGTCAGTGAGTTCAAGTTAGACAATACGCTGACCTTCCACTGACCATGCTTATAATATAAAATCTGTCAATGACAGCTGATTCATTGTTTAGTTTTTTATATGATATATTTAATATCAATAATATATGTATATGCATGCTTTATTTTACTTTACACGACCTCTAAAAATGCCCCAAATCGTAAAAATACGACTTTTTGGATTTCGATCTCCTTTTTTCGGCTACCCCGGACATTTTCAAAAAATGATACAATGATTTCACACAACAGGCCAGCTATTAGCCTCTCGATTGACAAGAGTTTCATCGCCCTCCATTCATTATAACCAATGTCATCGTGCCCTAAAGAATCAACAAATCAGCTTGCTTATCTCTGCTTACCCTAGGCAAAAAATGCTCATCTTTGAACTCAATCATGACATTGACCTAGTGAACGCCTACACCAAGTTTGAACATTCTAGCTTAATTAGAAGGAGAGTTCTTGTGTTCCAAAGTCCCGGCCCTTCAAATTGCTTCTATTTTTCATTTTCAATTCAAAATGGTGACCATCACGTGACCGAAATCAAAATTCTGATCCGATAGATTTTTAGGCATTCCTTCCAGGATTCCGAAAATATGACGCCCGAGTCTGTAAGTAAAATAGCAAAAAAGCCTTTTTGATTTTTCACGTTTAAAGATGGTGGCACTTCCGGTTCGATCGACAAACTCCATATTTTGTGTACGAATCAGTAATTACTTGTCTAGTATCGAATTTTTTTTTTAGGTCATTCTGACCTATATTTCGACGATTTTTTTGAAAACTTTGATCCTTAATTTCGCCAAGGGGAGATAATTTAGAAAATTTCCAAGGACATCATTGAAGTCGCATTGGCAAGATCTACTAACATTCTAAATTTCACGAAAATCGCACAACTATTAAAGAAGTTGTCAAATTGGTAATAACTTCCGGTTCGAAATGACAGCGACGAATTTTCGAAATGCCAAAATCCGAAATTGCAGATTTGAAGTAAATGTTTCAAGATACTCAAAGAAAAAAGAATTAGTAAAATAGGTCAAATAGTCACAAAGTTATAGCATTGTAGGTCAAATGCATTCCTTCGTAAAATTCGGTGATTTCGGATTCGTAAAACGTTTTGAAAATATATTTAATCAACAGCCACCACCCATTTTTGGGGGGATAGGTAAAAGTTTCAGAACGATCCTATGGTTAGATTCTGAGAAATCCGATTTGTGGACAAAACACAAAAAAAAAATAACAATAACTAGATCTGCTAAGCAGATATTAAAGCTTTCATATTCACAGTCACTGTCA